ATTCTTCTCTTGTACTAGTTTGGCGATAATCACGTTGTTGTCGTCGAACCAGTCCGGACGTTTCTGGCGTTTGGCACTAATCATCTCAGTGGCTGCTGCCGTGATCCGTTCCTTGATTAATTGCCATATACCTTCAGTGGTAGTGGACACAGGGGTGCCGTGCAGATGAGTGGCAGCTGCACACTGAAACGCAGTCTTCGCCTCACAGTTTTCCAGTGGTTCAATATCCAACTTTTGCTGTTGTCCGGAAGGTCTACAATAAACAGACTTGCGTATATGGATAAATAATTCAGTCCTGACCAGTCTATGATCGGTGTTACATTCAGCGCCGTACATCACTTGCGTGATACGCACTTCACGAATGTCGTACAATCACGTAATCAAGCAAGTGGTGATGACCGCTTCGTGGATGGATCCACGTCGTGATGTCGCTCGCATCCAGCTGAAATCGGATGTTCGTGATTGCCAGCTCGTGAGTAGCACACATGTGGAGCAGATGATCACCGTTCTCATTAACTGAACCGATGCCGTAAGGTCCGAAGACTCCCGGTCAAACTACTGAGTCGCGCCTGACTCGAGCCTTCAAATCACCCAGAACAAACAGTCGATCAGTCACCGGCGCTGACCGGATTGTGGTCGATACGTACTGTGTGTGAGACAAACATGCCCCACAAATTTCCTAACCACCCCTCCAGCCCAGTCCGACGGGTTATCAGATGTGCTTATCTGAGGGAATGATGGTTCCATATTCTTCGGTGTTCGTTGCTGATATGATCGTACGCCAGTAGATTCGCTAGATCGTTTTTTAAATCGCTTCAGTTCACTTTTTCTCTGTATACGATCCGCCTAACACAATCATTTTATCGATCAACCAAGAGACATGAAAGGACGACCGATGGTATTTCTTCCTTTTATAACAACCTGTGAACCTATGAAACTATCTCAAAGGATTCTACGGGAATGAGTAGGGGAGAATATGGAAACTCTACATTGTCAACACCTTGGAAATGAACAGAAAAGGTCTGAGGAGGCGGTTCACTCACCAGAACACTACGACCGAATAAGTTGGACGCTTGGAAATGGTTGGAAAGTTATAAGACGTTTGGAGATTGTCAGTATTTACCTAAAAACAGTCATCCAAGAAAATTTTCACCAGGGAATGGAGGACAGACGGTAGTTGATAATGACAAAAGTTGTCCTTTTACACATAAATCTGATCTGCATAAGTTGTGTCAATTCTTGACCTCCATGCGAACAGTTCAAAGTGATAGAATTTAGGTGGTCCTGAATGCAGGTCAAAACTAACGAAACTAGCTGATGTTGTCGAAAACTCCGCTATAACACGAACCGTTCCCTGAACTACGGGTTCACTAAGCAGGTGTAGTCAAGTATTCTTGACCACAGTTTCCAGAATGAAACCACGCCGTCTAGAGGACTGAACAGAATGATACAGTTAGTGATGTAGACCATAAAACAACTGACAGTTTGTTGTCAATTCCCAAATAAATACGTTGGATAAGTCACGGAACAGAGTTGTACTTGACAGAATTTGAAGTTCGGGTATTTATATGGTACGTAGTGACCTACAAATATTCTCGAGTCGTAAGATTGATGGACAGTTGGTCCAATAATCAGTTGAGGTCGCTAAACCACAAATGAGCTTGGCGGAATAAAGGTCAAACATATAAAAAGATTAATGAGGGCTACCTATAGGCTGTTCTGGAAATTTCTGTTCAATCTGATTGTAAAAATTCGTCTTCTCTGAGAACGAGGTTTTTTGGACGAAAACAGTAGGGTTCCTTAACACAGTTAAGCAATCAGATTGGGCCAACATGATGGAATGGTAGGTGTATGTCACAAGTAGCTAATCAATGCTACACTCTACGGGTTGCTATGTTGTACACAGCCAAGTTAATAACGGATTGGTACGCCAGTCTGAGTAGCATAAGGCGCCCATATTATAATGTTCTTAATACTGGCTAGAATACCGTCAGTGAACTGTTGGGTCTGGGCCAAATTCGAATAGGGACATGTTTAACAGAGGGTACTGGTACCTTTCTTTGCAAGACACCAGAATAAAACAGCATGATTAGTGATAGATTATCTTTTAAGGGAGGGCTTTGGTCTCCATTTAACGAGCCCAACTAGCGTTGTTTACGGGTTAATTACACGTTTTATTGGAACATAATTGTCATACGGTACTGATGTTGCTCGCTCTTCTCTTGACAACCTGCCTCTTCTTGCACAATATGACATCCTCACCATGGCTATTTTCTGCGCACATCGTTCAATGGACAGCTTAGCATACGGAGTCTAGAGTGACTTCAGATGGGACCCAATTGTGAAAAGTCAGGGCTTCGGCTGGGTTCGAACCAGCGACAGAAACTGCATGCCCAAATGCAGCAAATGCTTTACCAGCTGAGCTACAAAGCCACACCAGGAGCTCGGAAGTTTCACATTTATACTCTGTTACCGACCAGTCCCACTGTCACATATGGAATTCACTAAATGATTCAGGGGATCGAGTTCCGCGATAGGATTCCTCGAACAGTTCACACTGGAATCCACCAACACCACTGTTTAGCATAGAGTGACTGACAAAAACTGACCGGTCGTATGTCAGTCGTCCGAACATCCAGGTGAAAATCATCTCCACATAACTTTTCCAGGTTAAGATGTTCAGATAACATTTCCATATGATCTAAGATTACAGTATTGTCAACCAAAGATAGTTTAAGAGTTATATCCACACGGTTGCCCAAACTAGGCGAATCGTATTAGCACACTGGGGCAGGGATTGGGAATGAAAACAACGCACGAGAGTCACTTCACCAACAGATCTAGCTAACATATAGATTGAACATCACCTACAATTGATCGCATTCCCATAGACTTTCAAGTCGGTCCATTTCGAAAAGAAGCACTAGACTCGAGTTTCGCTCTCATTAGAGCCCGTCTGTAGTGCATATCATCGCCACTGCCGGAACTTGAACCACGGGGACGCTGTTCATGAGCCAACCGTGTTTACCATTGCGCCAGTGACCTCACATCAGGCACGACCGAATTATCATATGTGAACACTCAACCACTCATCAGTAATCAGATACCGCTCAACAAGTCAATGATTTCTGTGATTTCAACTTGGAGAGAAGTCCTAGTGGCGGTGTTATCGATTGGAGTTAACAGACAGTAACTGTGTCTCCTCTCGAGGCGATCGGGCAACCTGATCATTACTCACAAGCGAAAAGGGTTGAGTATTCACATATGATAATTCGGTTGTGCCTAATGTGAGATCAGTGGCGCAGTGGTAAACGAAGAGTTGTATATTTAACAAAACCTGATTACAATATGCATATTGTCTTCAGGAACCGAGTCACAACTTGTCCTTCTGGGGTTTTCATGGTAAGGTAATTGAACTGTGCCATGGTGTCGCACATTCGTGCTAAGCCCCGCATTACTTTTCTGGATTACTGGTCTCGGTATCGAGCCCTGTCGTCCTACTTCAGGTCAATATGTCCAAGTGAACCGGGTTTCACCTTTTATTAACAAGTGGTGCCGTATTACAGACATATTGATACTTCCGGAGAGTAATGTGGAGAGTCTATTCAAACAAGTAGCTCTTGTTAGGCTGTCAGGATTTCCAATAAGTACAGGATACCTACGGTGACCGCACGCAGAGGACTAACAGTTCATTGACGACAATACGTGTTTATCGGCTGGAACGATACGACTACGGTCAATCAAGAGTGTTATGATTACCTGCTGCCATTGGTCTGACAACTAACATGCAGGTGAGACACCCGCGAGTCCGCGAGTTGAATGACACTTGTCTAATTCTGATGCTTTACGCATTGTCACCAAGATAAATGCGTGTAACTCGAAACACAAAGAGGTCATGATTGTACCCACAGTTCTTGTTCTTCTGTTTATACTTCATGGATGCTAGAATTGAGCCCGAGCTAGTTCATGACTTTCTGTTAGTCCAACCGGTCCATTAACAGCAGTATCCTTTACCTAGTTGTGCTGAACGCTCTACACATAAGATATTGGTAGAACCTGAGCATAACTGGACGTTAGTTTCTTGCGGTTTTTGTCCAAATGTGGCTCAACGGAGTATGACCAGATGAGAAGTACTTAATGAAGCCCACACCACACATTTTTCAGGGTGCACCTCAATACTGTGGGGTTAAAATCAGGATTCACTTCATTTCACAGTTGTGTTCAGGAAGAAGCATTTTTACGATTTACTCTGTAACATGAGAGCAAAACTAGTGAGCGTGTGTGGATCGAAATTGATGTACTAATTCGTACATGGTTGTTTTGGTCACCTTTCGGATCGTAACGTCAACTACATGCACAAAGATCCCGGATAAGCAGAGTCAGTCGAACGAGACGAACACTTATATTTCAACGCAACTTTGTCATATCCCCATAGGTTTGCCCTGTTCGGTTATACTGCATTGCTAAGTGCTGCATACTACAACCTCGGATACAACCTGCGCCTGCTGCTCAGCCTGTATGTTACAATACCCCTGTGAAGTTAAACGATGGTGTAATCCTTTAAAATGGTGTCCTCTGCAGAAATGATTGATTAACTATATATTATAGAAGGATTTATCACCATAGGCATATCTTTGTCTGAAACCAACCATTGTTAATGAAATCCCGTGATAAAACTTAGATTGGCGAATTTCCCTTCATTTCGACTAACTTGAAGGTTCAACGCCAATTGCGAATAGATACTTGGGAGGATTACTTCTTATCTTATGTCTGGCGGTCCATTCCAATTTCAAACTGATTATTAGGTCTCAGTTAACTTGACAATTAGCAGATATCATATTCCCATAGACTACTCACTCGGCCCCTTTCGAAAACAAACACCAGACTCGAATTCCGCTCTCATTAGAGCAGCTTGTCAGTAGTGCATATCGTTGCCACTGCCGGAACTAGAACTCCGGTCATGCTTTCATGAGGCAACCGTGCGCCACTGACTACACATTAGGCACGACTGAATCATCATATGTGAACTCTCAATCATCTTCGCGTTTGAGTAGTGATCAGGTTGCCAGTTGAGCGTTCACGTTCACTCGTGCCTACTATGAGTTGAATGGTGCAGTGATAAACACATTTGTTTCATGAAAACGCGCCCGGAGTTCTAATCCTGGTCGTGGCAAGTATATGCACTACTGACGAGCTCTAGTGAGAGCGAGATTCGAGTCTAGTGCTTGTTTTCGAAAGGGGCCGACTGGGAAGTCTATGAGAATGCGACAGCTGCGATCAATTGTGGGCGGTGTTCAATCTATATAAAAACCAAAATCCCCTACTACTCCTCAGTAACTAATTGAAGGTTAGAAAACGTATCCTTATCCAGAGGCGTATTGTACTGACAGACAATACTTTTACAGGATGACTTATTTTGTAGTTGTCACAAAGTGCCGCTTAAATCAAATCACAACCGCAAATCGTTTAGACAGGATGGCTGCGTGAGACCGTAATTTACAATATGTTTCCAAAACTGGATCAGACGGATCCATCGATCTCGTGGTTCTCATCGTTCAAAAATACGTTAATTTTTTACCACCAATACGAATGACCATAAAGTGATTAAGCTAAGTGAAATGTCAATTCCAAAAACCTCATAGAAATAATTGCACGGCTTCCTAAACTTGTCGAAAGTATCCAGGAACTGGAAAACATAACCGTTAGTTCATGTAAGAAAGAGACAACAGAAGTCATTGGTCAAACTCTGAAGAAAGTGGATATCAAGAAGGTTTTTGAAATAAGGACGATCTTCCGTTAAGTTTTGTGAATATGAGCACCCGACATCTATATGTGCTGCACCTAAGCACAAAACATCTATCACGTACTATGTTGTCTTGTTGATGAATACGTGAAATTATGCTAAAGTTGCGTTTTCTTGACGAACGTAGTGTATCAAACAGGTTCGTGGTTCATTGACAAGATAAATGTACGGCATTTATATAACAGTTTTACAAAGTTAGCCCTGATAAAGAAAATAGTGTAAGGGTAGGATTATGAAGCCAGAACAGTCGACGACAGGCTGCAATTAATCCGTCACTTGGACACTGAATATTGGTCGGTCTACATGCTACGCGGTTGGACAATGGCTGAACAAAACACACTTAGATGAACAGGAGTACCGTACACGTGCGAATTCTGGTAGCTTCAGAAGTGGACAGAATTCGATATCTCAAACACACAGATTGGACAAGGCACTTGAGTCACATTGAGAAAATGGATCGAATCACACAAGTGTGTTTACATGATGCTGTCAGTTGGATCCGGTAAATCACCACTGAGACAAGCTAGGTGACGCCGACTGACCTGATCGAATAAGCGTCTGGTGGTGCATCCGATACAACTAAGTCCGTAGGTGACAGAGAAAATTGAGATGGGGGCTGAGCAGAACTAAATAAAAACTAAAATGTGCATATAGTTTAGTAGTACAAAGCCGCTTGTTATTCACAGTTGAGAGGCCAAAATATTGAACTTATTATTTTTGTCAGGTGTGGTTCATCTGTCCCTGAATACTGTACACTTGTTTATCTCATTAATGAGTACATTGTAAAGTTGAGAGCTAAATGCGATGTGTTTTGTCTATTGGAAGAAAAGACCAGCGAAGCAAATTAGCTTGGTTTGTACAGTCTTTGCCATCATATGGGACCATTTTATTAGACAAAGTCAGTGGCCAGTTCGATCTCACTAGGCCATTTGTGGAAAGAAACTTGGTACCATATGACAGTTAAAATCAAGTGTTGTTCCGTCTAACTGCCGTTGGTGTCTGATATTTCTTCAGTGGAACATTTTTATCACTCATTTCCTACTTTATATTCCTAAGTCATCAACATCAAGGTATTGTGATGTTGTACTTTTTACCGATCGCCAAAGTGACCATCATAACAGTGCTAATAAGTAGGTTACCTAGTACACCAGACACACTCAAATTGAGTTTTTTTGACTCTACACCGAAAAATCGTTCCGGGCGTCACCTGTAGTCGATCCATCAGTTAACAAAACAGCAAGAACAGCGCAGTGACAGAACAAAAAACTTGATCACAATATGTGACTCCAGGCGAATAGACTAACAACTTCAATGCTAACTGTCAATCATGTTCATGTATGGGGTGCACGTTTTGGTGCGCGGTGTTGTGCACGTATCCACCGGTCGTTCTACCAACTTCCTGCCTAAATTATGAAAAACATTTTGCTACTTGTAAGTAGTTAATAATAAGCTTAAAAATATGCATTTACGATCTGGGTGGTACATTATTCACCATGAAGCAAAAAATGATAACATCTGAGTTCCAATTCGGAATCCGTCTGAAACTGCTTCATGTTGTTTGAGTTGGAATGCCTGTGTAGGTCGCGAATGACGAAACAGTGAAGTTTTGCAGTTGTGTATAATACAGTAC